CGAGGCTCGGTACCAAGAGCTGCACACGCGTCCCACACCCTCATACCTTTCATTCCAGCTCCTTAATGCCTCTTAAGCCAAGGAACCCCTAATCAGCAGGAGAGAGCCAACCCCAGCCCTGCAGACCGCTGGGGATTTCCACCCACCTCCCCCAGCTCATGACTGATCAGGGAGCACCAGGAAGGACACTGCTCAGACACAGCCACGTCCCTTCCCAAAAAACGGCTCCAGAACATCAAGCTCTGTGTGGCGAGTGCTCAGGGCACCCCAAACCACAATCCCACCATCCACATGCCCTCAACCGCCACTCAGTGACTCTCAAACCACATGTGGGCCAGGAAAGAGAATTATCAGCACTGCACACCACTGGGGTTTTGTCTCTTGCTGGAGCTGCAGAATTCCCAGCTCCACAGAACCCACGGGAAAGGCTGCCTGGAAAATGGGGGTTTATTCCTCCTCACCAGATGGAACAGGAAAATTATGGAGGAAAACAGAGCACGCAAATGTGCCTCACCATCAAACTTGCACCTCAGACTCTGAGAGTGCACTGGAAGCAACAAGAAAGAGAACAGGAAAAGGCAATTTGCTCCAGGAAAAAGTCAAAAGTAATGAGGATTACTGAAGGGGGTGGATTCAGGAATCTGCTACAGTTCAGAGGGATATACAGAAGAAATTCTTCCCTGTCAAGGTGGTGAGGCCCTGGCACAGGTTGCCCAGAGAAGCTGTGGATGCCCCATCCAACCTGGCCATCCACAACTTCCAGCCTGGAGCTGCAAGGCACTGAGGGGAAGGGATTTTATCAAGAGACTGAGGCTTTGCCCGGTCCCTGAAGCTGCAGCCTGGGAATCACAGATCCTTTGCCTTTAATATGAGCCAGCACTGGGCACTTTTGTTCCAAACCCGTGGTTTCTAGGAGCATCCTGTGCTCACAGGGCTTCGGTGCCACAATTGATCCCGTGTGCTCCCTGCCCGGGAGCAAACGACGTGTTCAGCAAAGGCAGCCCAGCCCCGACCAAACATAGCCCCACTAGAAGGAAATTATGGACTGACAACCCCCAAAACCACAGAAACCCCACATTAATGACATTAATTGTGTCCGTGAGCACCTGCAGATCCACGTGTATTTATTTTCCAAATAAAACCAGCCCTTTGCAGCCGCACATCAGCACGGCAGCCAGGACGAAACATGCTTCAAACAGGAAGTTGAGGGCTGGAAACAACCGAAAACATCGGGAAATTTCCCCAGGAACACCAAAGCTGTGTTTTCTTTTCTCCTCCCCCTCGATTCTCCTTTGCCCAGACAGACACAAAGGCACCCGCCGAGGGCTCGAGGCGCAGGCCCCGAGCGCTGCTGACCCAGGGCACGCTGGGCTCTGCAGTGTAAACACAGCAGTGCCTGACACAGCCTTAATGAACCCACGGCCTAATTAAGCCTTGACTAGGGTCGACAGCTTCGTCAGGCAAGGCGGCAGCTCCTGGGCCTGCTCAGGTGAGCCAGGGGAGGAAGGTGACTCACCAGCCACATTACAAGGCTGCTGACTCCCAGTAAAACCCTCCCAGGAACCACCCCTGGATTTCACCGCCCCGCTGTTTATGTTCAAAGCAGCGAGTGTGACACAGAGCTGGAGCTGGGCATTAACGACCCCGGCTCGGTGTCCTGCTGACAGCACCGAGGGCAGCCCGTGGAACATGGAAATATCCACCCTGACACGCGCTAAGTGTTTATTAAGGAAAAATAAATAAGCAGCTGGCGGAGCCTGCGCTGGTTCCCCGCTGCAGGGAGGCAGCATTCCGAGGACACCAGGTTTCGGGAGCCGGCCTGGCTGTTCCCTGGGTACAGCGTCAGCACACACACGGAAATAGTGAAGAGTCAAACCCAAGGACCAGGCAGGACTGCCTGGAAAAGCTCTGGACATGTTTCCCCAGCCTCGTCCAGGAGCTATAGGGGGCTCACCCACACTGGGGGAGACCCTGCCCCAAGGGCTCACCCCATGGGCACTTTAGGGGGCTTGAGGGGTACCCGTGGGGCATGAGCGTCCCCCAAGAGAACCCGAGTCCCCTATGGGGCATAAGGGTTCCCCACCAGATCCACACATGCCTGTGATGCACAGAGGTTTCCACGAGGATCAGCGACATCCCAAGGGGAACTGGGGGTCCCCACAGAGCACCAGACCCTGGAGGGGCTCAGAGGGTCCCCCCTCTTCATCCCTCTCCCCAGCTCCCGTGGAACCCAGGAGCCCCCGCACCCCTCTTCGTGGCACCCCCAACCCCTCCCCAGCCTCCGTGGGGCACAGAGGGTCCCCTCCATCCTTTCTCCGCGGTCCCTGTGGTGCCCAGCGCATCCCTCCCTGTGCTCCCCTCGGTCCCCCCCCGTGTCCCCCGGTGTCCCCCCCCGGTCCCACCTGGTGTGCCGCCGCCCGCCGTCGTCCCTGAGCGCCGCCAGGTCCACCTCTGCCCGGCCCAGGAACTTGTCGGCGCCGGTGAGGGCGCGGTGCAGGACGGTGAGGCGGAGCGCGGGCCGCGGGGGCAGCTCGAACGTGGCCTCCTCCCGCCACAGCGGCTCCCCCCGGCACCGCTCGGCCACCGACGTGCGGAACTTGTCGCGGCCCAGCGCCATCACCGCGTACGCGTCGCTGCCGCCGCCGCCCGCCGCCTTGGAGCGCAGCCCCCGCGCCCGCAGCACCGTCACCCGCGCGTGGGTGGGCGCCCAGCCCGCGGCCGCCATGGCGGGAGCGGGGCCGGGACGGGAGTGGGAATGGGGTGGCAGCGGGATGGGATGGGTTGGGAAGGGAAGGGGACCGGGAGCGGAGCCGCCCGGTGCGCCCGCCCCGCCCCTCTCGCGAGAGCGCGGGGTGGGCGGGGACTGGGAGGGGCGGGGTGAGTCATCCAGGTGTGCGCAGGTGTGTGCAGGTGTGTGTACAGGTGTGTGCAGGTGTGTGTACAGGTGTGTACAGGTATGCACAGGTGGGTACAGGTGTGTGTGTGCAGGGATGCACAGGTGTGTGTACGGGGATGTGTGTATGTGCAGGTGTGGGATGTTACAGGTGCGCTCAGGGGTTTTCGTGTACAGGTGCATGGATGTACAGGTGTGAACAGGTGTGCACAGGTGTCAGTACAGGTGTCAGTACAGGTATACAGGGGGTGTGTGTATGTACAGGTGTGTGATGTTACAGGTGCATGGATGTACAGGTGTGAACAGGTGTGCACAGGTGTCAGTACAGGTGTCAGTACAGATATACAGGGGGTGTGTGTATGTACAGGTGTGTGATGTTACAAGTGCATGGATGTACAGGTGTGAACAGGTGTCAGTACAAGTGTCAGTACAGATATACAGGGGGTGTGTGTATGTACAGGTGTGTGATGTTACAGGTGCATGGATGTACAGGTGTGAACAGGTGTGAACAGGTGTCAGTACAGGTATACAGGGTGTGTATGTATGTACAGGTGCATGGATGTACAGGTGTGCACAGGTGTGTACAGGTGTGCACAGGTGTGCACAGGTGTATGTACAGGGATGTGTGTGTGTGGCTTTGTGCAGGGGCAGGGCTGCGCGTTGATCCCAACAGGCACGTGGGAGAGATTCCTCCTGGAACACAAGGAGCACTACCTGGCAGGAGCTGGCAGGATAACTGGTTCCAGGGCTGTGCCGGGCTGAGGAGGCAGAGCAACAGCACAGTGCAGCTCTTCTCCTCCAGATATGCTGGAGCTGGAGAGGTCCCAGGACTCCTGTCCTGGCAGCAGCCCACAGCTCCCCAGGGGCTGCTCGCTGGGACCTCTGCCCAGCCCCACATCAGAGACATGTGTGGAATAGGTTCTCCCAAGAGGAGGCAGGGAGGGAGGGACAGGAGAGCAGGTGACACAGGAGCACCAGAGCACAGTCCAGACTGACCCCAGGGTATTTGCATTTTCCCATTTTTATCACCAAAAAAAAAAGGAAAAAAAAAAAAAAAAGCATTTCTTTGAACGTGGGAGCAATAGAGGGGTCAAGGAGAGGAGACAAGGAATGATACTCAAAGCCCAGACAGTTTGTGTCCCTCTGTGACGTCTGGCACAAAGCACTGGCAGCTTCTGTCAAGGGGTGTCCCCACCACCACACCAGCTCCACTCAGACTTCTCTGAGCTGCCCCTATTCTACGATCCCCCATCACCATCTTCATCTCCTGCGTCTTCCTCCGAGAGCTCTTCCTCCTCATCTTCAGAGCTGACATCATCTTCCACTGGGGAGAGAAGAGGCAGGGCTGCAGCAGGGGTGGCCCTGACTGACCGAGGGGGGTGAAGCCCCTCGGCTGCAAATCCCATCCCACGAGCAGGAACACGGACACCCTCCCACCCCACAGCAGGGAAACTGGCACAGACCACCCTGGCCAGCCCACAACTCCCAGCAAGCACCAACTGCCCCCCGAGTAGCCCTCCCTCCAACCCTGGGGCAAAGCAGAGAGCACGAACTGCCACAAGAGCTGCCGTGGGACCCTCGGCCCACGTGCCCACCCTGACCTCACAGCTTGGTGACACTCACAGGTGACAAGCTGCCCGCTGAGATAGACTGGCCCAGACCCACACTGGAGCACAAAGGTGACAGGAGGGACCAGCTCCAGAGCTCTGAGGCTGATCTGCAAAGAGACAGAGCTCAGAGACCCCCCGAGCCCAGCAGGAGGTGATGTTGTCACCCCACGGGCACCCTTACCATGGGCAGCACCGAGCTCCGCAGCGTGGCGATGGGCACCGGCCTGTGCTCCCCGGAGGCGTTTTTGGAGTCAACAGCCACCACGTGCAGCTCGTCCCCGGCGTCGGCCCCCAGGCAGATCTGTGGGGCCGAGCAGAGAGCCCATGGCACGGAGCCGCCAGCTGGGGCTCTGGCAGCTCCTTGGCAAGGCCCGGATCTCACCGTTCTCAGCAGCAGCAGGTGCTCCAACAAGTCATCAGCCTCCTTCACCACGCAGCTCCGGGCACCGGCACCCAGCTGGCAGCCTGGGGGATGGCACAGCCTGTGCTTGCACAGCTGCCCCCCCCTCACAGAAACAAAGGGGAGGCTTTCCCAGCTGGGCACTCCAAGGGAAAAGGGGGCTCACACCCAGCCTGGCTGCCTGCAGAGCACAGCCACTGTCCCCCCACCCACTCCTGCCACCAGGTGCCCCCAGAGCATCCCGGGGCTCACAGCTCCGTACCCCACAGTTCAGCCACAGGCTTCTCCTCTGGTAGCAACAGGGAGAAGGAAAGCGAGGTGTCCATCCTCCACAGCAGATCTGACAGCAGTGACCAGCTCCTGTGAGACAAACAGCAGAGAAAGCAGCACCCACAGAGGAACAAGTACCTGCCACAGCACCACTAATAAGGGGAAGGGCAACCCCAGGGAGGTGAAAGCTGGGAATGCAGTGCAGGTGGAGACAGGTGGACACCCACCACCCCCTCACACCCTGCAGCAGCACCCACAACCCATCTGAGCCCACTTTAGCTTGATTAGAGCCCTGCCAGGGGGACCTGCAGAACCCTGGGCCCGCTATTCCCTGGGCCCCCTATTCCCTGGGCCAGCCCCCCTTTGCCTCTGCTGCATGGGGAGTCACTCATACACCCATCTTCAGGGGGGTAAAAGAACACCTCATGGGCTGCGTGGGAGGATGAGGTCATGTAAGCTAGGGGACACACAGAACCTGTTTGTGCTTGGGGACAGCTGCTGGGATCAGAAATGAGCCCCCTGAGAGCCACCAGAGCTACCAGACTGGGGTCTGAGGCTTTGAAATGGGTACACTCGCCACGAGCTGCTTTTATTCTCTTTATTTAGTGATTTCATCCTTGCAGGGTGTTAAAAGCAAAACACACCAGGGGAGGGTCCCAGCAGGGCAGGCAGACCCTGTGGCAGCCCAGGTCCCAGTTCCTGTGCAGAAGCTGGGATTTCCCTGGCGCCAGGAGGTGGCACTGGGCACCTCTGTCAGCTCTGCCTGCCCCTTCAGGGTGTAGGGACGTGTGGCAGGGCTAGGGGTTGGCACCATGGCATGCCTAGAGCCTGGCTTTTCTCTGCCAGCCACAGCCCCTGGGAAGGGGGATGCACCCCCTGAGCCTCAGGCAGCCCCCCAGGAACTGCACCCCTCTGCTTGGGAGGGATGTGGAGGCATCACGAAGATTCAAAGGTTTATTTCACACAGTGGGGGGGGGGGACACAAACCAGGACAAAACCTGTACAGTCACTGCAATGATGTATTTACACCAACTCACGCCCACGGGTGCTGCATGGCCGCGTGGCGTGGGCAGGGCACATCTGGGCACGTGTGGGATGAGAATCCTCCTCCCCTCCCATCCCCAGGGCAGCACAGACATGGAACCTGCCCCGAATGACAGGGAGGAACTGGAGGAGACCTGACAAGGTCATAATTGCCTGGTTTGAGAAGTCCTTCGTGCTCAGAGCTCCCCTTGCTCCCCTGAGCCTTTCCTGTGCTGAAGGCATTGCTGCAGCTCCTGGGATCGCACCCAGCCCTGGAATGCAGCAGCTAGGGCAGGGATGGAAATCCTTGGAAGGGCCTGTGTGTGCAGGAAGCTCTTCTCCCTTCCAGATGGACTGTCTGAAACTGGCCAAGCCTGGAACGATGAAGCTGTTCATCCTTCAAGAGAGCAGAGCTGCCAGTCTCCACATCCCACTGACAGTCTCCACATCCCACTGCCAGTCTCCACATCCCACTGCCAGCCATGTCAGGAGCACCCTGGGTGGGAGCTTGTCCCCTGTCCACACATCCCCGAGGCCATGCTGCCCCTTGGCAAGCAGCTCCAGAGCTTTTCCCCAGCTCCAGGTCTCCAGCACCAATGGCACAGAGGAGCCGGTGTTGTCCCGAAACCACCAGCGTTCCCGAGGGAGATCCCCCTCCTCTCCAGGTCGGTGAGTGCACCAGAGGGTCCTTCCAGCACCGTCACCCCCGGTGCTGCTTCTCCGTCCCCAGCCCTGCAAAAAGAGCGTGGGAGGTGACACGGGGTCACCCACCGGGCTCGACTGGGGACAGGGACCCACAGCCACCACCCCAGCGGGCACGGAGGGGGATCCAGGAGCACCACACACAAGGTCTGGAGCCCCAGTAAGCCAAGGAGGCAGCAGCCCAGGCTGACACGGGGCTCACGTGCCCGAAACCGTGGGCTGGCCACGGGCTGCGCTCCCCAGGGAGGGCAGAGGAGAGGCTGGAGGGGTGATGGCCTGGCCAGGGGAAACACTCACTCTCCTCCCTGCTCCCGGCTGCTCCCGGTCAGACGGACGGACCCACGGGCATGTCTCTGCCAGCAAACCTGAAACAGCACAGCGAGTGGGAGCCCAGACCCTTCCCACCCCTCACCACCCCGTGTTCTCAGCACCAGTGAATCCCAGGGAACACCTCTGGCTCCTCTCTCTGCACACTGCTACTGGAAGGAACCTCTCCTGCCCTCAGGCATCAGAAGAGCTTTTGACCAGAGAAACACGGTTAAAATCCGCAGTAACCAGAATAACTCCAATTTTGTCATACTAATAAAAAAAAATTCAGGGTGGAAAAACCCCATGCTGTCATGTGGAGGTGTTTTAGGGAAACATAAAAGGAGAGGGCAGTGGTTCCCAGTCCCACACCCCAGCACCTCTCCCATGCACCCCGGGGTCTGCCTGCCCCCTCAGCTCCAGGGTCTGCCTGCCCTCCAGCTCTGAACTGGGCTATCAGAGCATGGGCCCACCACTGACAGCCCCCCCAGTCACTCCCCAAAGGGCTGGACACCCTGAGTCCCCCCGAGTGAGTGCCTGCCGGTACCTACTCGTCAAGCTGCGAGCACAGCGTGGTCTGGGTGCCCTGCGACCGGGACTCGCCCAGTGGCCGCTGCCATTGCCCACTGCCCTGGGCCGAGGGCGTCTCCTCTGTCCTGCTGCTGCAGCCCCGAGCCTCGCCGTCCTCCCCGGGGCACCCGGGGGCCGCCTTGCTGTCCTCTGGGGGGCCTCCCCGGGGGCTGAAGGCACAGGGGCAGCGCTGCAGGTCCTGTGACACGGCGTGGAGCCGGCGGTCGGCGCGGCGCGGGCAGCACAGCAGCTTGCGGAAGGCGCTCCTGAAGTCGGGGCTGCGGCAGTAGATGATGGGGTTGAAGGCCGAGTTGACGTAGCCCAGCCAGTTGAGGAAGAGGAAGAGCTGATCCGGCACCAGCGGCCGGCAGAAGACCTTGATGATGTTGGCCACGAAGAAGGGCAGCCAGCAGAGCGTGAAGGTGCCCATGATGATGCCCAGGGTCTTGAGCGCCTTGTGCTCCTTGATGGCCAGCAGGCGGGACGGCCTCCTCCGCCGGCTGCTCCGGGACGTGGGGCTGGGGGGCTCCTGCAGGAACCTCACCTTGTCCTTGCCGATGAGCCGGACGTGCCGCGTGGCCACGGCGAAGACCCGGACGTAGACGAAGATCATGACGAGCAGGGGCACGTAGAAGGAGATGGTGGAGGAGACGATGGCGTAGGTCATGTTGGTGACGAAGTCGCAGCAGCGCGGGTCGTCGTAGCAGCGCGCCGCCTGCTCGTCCGCCCCATCCCGCCACCAGTGGTTCATGATGGGCAGGAAGGAGATGAAGGCGGAGATGGCCCACACCAGGCACACCACGGCCCGCGCCCGGCCCTTGGTGACCAGCGCCTCGTACTGCAGCGGCGAGGTGATGGCGAGGTAGCGGTCCACGGCGATGGCGCACAGCGTCTCGATGCTGGCCGTGACGCACAGCACGTCCAGCGACGTCCACAGCTCGCACACCGTGGTGCCGTAGGGCCAGTGGCCGCTCAGCAGGATGGTGGCCCCCGGCGGCACCACCAGCAGGCCCATGATGAGGTCGGCGCACGCCAGCGAGGTGATGAAGACGTTTGTCATGGTCTGCAGCCGCGGCGTCTTGGCGATGGCCACGATCACCAGCAAGTTGCCGGCCACGATGACCAGGACGGTGAGGCTGAGGGCGGCCCCCAGCACCCACTGCCGGCCCAGGCTGCCGGCCCCGCTGCAGTTGCCGGAGCCCCCCCAGGCGCTGCCGTTGCCCGCGGGGAGGGGGCTCATCTCCGCCGGGCTGGGGGCGCCGGCCCCGCGCCCCGCCGTGCGCTCCCCGCCGCGCTCCCGGCGCAGCCCTCGGGGCGGACCGGCGGGGCCGGGTCCCCTCCGCGCCGGAGGAGGAGCCTTTAAAGGCGCGGGGCGGCCCCGGGCTGCCCGCTCCGGACGGCGAGGGGAGAGGAGCGGGCGATGACATCGCCTCCCCCCCGGATGGGGTGTCCCGGCCCGTCCTGCTCCCCCCGGCATCCCCGCCGGGAGCCTTTCCCCGTGCCCTCCAGCCCCTCGCCGCGTCCCCGGTCCCACCCGTCTGTTCTTGATCTCCACACACAGCAGCCCCTCACTGCGTGCCTCGTCTTTCTCTGTGCATCCTCACCCCTTTGTGCCCCCCTCACCAGTGCTCTGGTCCCTCTCCCCACACCTCAGCTCTCACCCTGCCCCCCTTGCTCTCACCCCTCACTGTGCACCCCAGGGCTTTGCTGTGTCCTACTCCCCCTGTGACCTTCTCCCTGGGCAGGGCAGGCTGTTCCTGGTGGGGACAGTGACCCCCCTGTTCCCCCTGAACATCAGCGGAGGGATGGCAAGGTGACAGCTTTGCTCCCAAAGACGATGCCCAGGGCCACAATCACTACTTCATCTACACATTTATTGCCTGAACCTCCTTTCCAGCATCATTGCTTCCCCTCCTGAATTTGGGCAGGTGCTGATATCTGGAGACCCCCAAGACCCCCATCCACACTCCCTGCCCACTCACACGTGGCAGTGAGGGGACACCAAAAATCTGGAAGGCTCTGGGGGCCCCACTCTGGGCAGACTCCAGAGTGGGTCATTTCTTTCTCTATCAGCTGTTTATACAAATACTGGAACTTTTAAGACAGGCGCTCTCCAAATGTGGCATTTTGAAGTTTCAGCCAAATGTGGGAATGTTGACAGAGAGGAAAAAAATATGTGTAAAAACTATCTGGTTGGCATTTCTTCCCATTCATGAGCTCACAAAGCAGAGCCCTGGTTTTACGAGCCTGATCTTTATGAGGCTGTTTTGCTTTTTCAAAGTCCTGAGCCAAGGGATTGATCCAGCCCTGCTCATCTCTCAGCCCCAGCATTTGCTGCTGGCTGGGGCCAAGCTGGGAATTGCAGGGAGGTTTCTCCTGGCTCCAGGATGGTGCACATGGTGTGTGCAGGGGTGTCATCATCTGTCCAGTGTGGCTGCACACCTGATTCCAGTGTGGATCAGCCCACAGAGCTGGATTTGTGTCTGGAAAGTAAAGCAAGAGCACCAGTGGGAACGTCCATGGATAAACGAGGGCTTTGGGCTTGGGTCCACGGAGCTGGCAGAGGACAAGCACTGAGCAGGATGCCCGGCTCTGCCACCACTCTGCTGGCTGACCAGAGTGGCTTCCCATCCTTCCCTCCTCTTTCCATCCTCACCTCCACTCCCCAGGTAGCCCCGACCCAACTCATGCCCACCTGGCAGAGCTGGGCTGTGCTCTGGCTCCTGGGCACCACAGGGGCTGTAGGACTCAGCCCAGGGGTTTTACCACACGTTTTCCTGCAGGCAGTCCCTCCTGGCACTTTCTGGTCATCCCCACCCCGCTGTGCCCTGCAGGGAGCTCCCACGGACAGACACACTGCCCGCAGTGGGACAGACAGCCACGTGTTCCCCAGGGGCCAAGCAGGCATCCAACCCACCCTCCTGATGTCTTCTCTCTGGAATTCAAATTAGGCTTTTCCTCCCACTCCCAGGCAGGGGAGCTCGGCGCCCTCCCTGCTTCCCAAGGAGCAGACAGGACTGAGGAGAGGAAGGGAGACTCCCAGGCCTTTCATCACCGCAGGGGAAGTAACGTGGCCCCGGATCTTTGTCCCAGTTTTACAGCTGGAAAAACTGAAGCACAGAGGTGCTGGGTCTTGCCCAGCCCTGACCCCCATCCCCACTGCTCCAGAGCCCTGACCCGAGCCCCTGCAGGGATGGAGACGCTTTCTGCTCCCTCCAGCCCAGGGGAAGCATCTTCTCCCCTTCTCCATCCCCAGAACCACTGCCCTGGCCCTACCTGCATGGCCACTGGCAGCAGGGGAGGCAGAGCCAGCCCTGGCAAGACCCTGTAGGAAGTGCTGGTCAGAGGGTCAAGTGTTGTTTAGAAAACCCTGGGAAAGTCTGTTTATGCCGTGGATCAGAGCGGCTCCTTTGGCTGTTGATACAGAATAAACAATGGGTATTTAAAGATACTCCTTTATACATAGAGAGTCAGGATGAACTGGGGAAGATCCCTCCTTGGGGGGGGAGATGGGATGCAGGGAGCAGGCAGTGCCACTCTCCTTGCTGGGCAGCACAAGGAGCTCGTGGTGCCCATGGATGTGTTTGGAGAGAGGAAACAGATGCCTGAGCTGGTCCCAGACACATCTGAGGGCTCACAGGCTCTGCCTGGCCACGGAGGCCGAGGGGTGAGAGCTCAAGTAGCAGCTATGGATAAAACAAAAGCTTTTTATAGCTGGGAACTCTCTCCCTCCCTGGCATGTGGCTGCATACTCGGAACAGGACAAGAGATAAACCCATCACACGGCGGAGTCACAGCGGTGTCGCTGCTCGCTGCCATCAGCATGCTGACAGTGGGGACACCGGTGTCCCCCTCTGCCCTCTGCTTCAACTTCCTCAGCTCCCCACCAAAGCAGAGGGTCCTAAAGCAACCCCAACCTGGCAAGTGAAGGCACCAAAACTGCCCACTGAGCCCTCGGGGGTCTGTCTGTCCAGACTTTCCCCTGGGTGCAGGTGGCAGAGCAGGGAGAGGCACAGCAGCACCCAGAGAGATGCAGCTCAGCTTTGCAGCAGCACCAGTGGGTGCCAGAGCTGCTCCCGAGCCAGGCTCGTGTTGCACAGAGTTGCCTGTGCCATGGAATTCCGAGCCAGAGCTGTGCTGGGACAAGTCTCCAGCCCAGAGTAAAGGGCAGGGGCAGGGGAGGGGTTCACCCCCACAGCCTGGGGAGTCTCAGGCACCTCTGGGATGGCACTGGGGGGCTGCACTACCCTCCCCTCGCCAAGATGTGGGATGGGTCTCAAGGTTGCAGAGAAGTCCCTGCCTGGGATGTAGGGCCCTTGGGGACACTGGGGACAGCACAGGAGGACCGTGTGATGCTCTTCTCTCTGCCTGAGCAGAGTAGCATCATTTTACCCCAAATTCCCATCCAGGGAGGAAGCTCTGGGCTCCATGGAACGGGCTCTGTGGCCAGGCTGTTCTTTGGGAGTGGGTCCTGCTCGGGCTGTGTGTCCACAGTGGTGGTGAGTGGGGGGCTCTCCCTCCTCACTGAGACTTTCCGAATAGTTTCCATATCAAATCCACAAATCTTGCTTTGAAGTTGTTTGGGATTCTCTGTCATCACGTTTCCTTGTCAGCACATAAACACGCTGTGATGGAGCTTTAACCCCTGGGTACTGCCTGTCCCAGGAAGCCTGCAGGAAGCTCCACATAAACTCTGGTCCCCACATAAACCCTCCTCCCCCAGCAAAGGCAGGCACAGCTCTGGGATCTGCAGCACCAGGACAGCCAGGGCTTGGGCAGGAAGGGAAACATCTCTTTGTCACAACCATAAAAAAGAGTAAAAATATGCTGTTTCACTGACTCTCAAGCAAGCTGCTTGGAGTGCCACCCCGGCTCGGGGTGAGCGCTGTGCCCCGGGGGGCTCTGAGCTCCCCCGAGCTCCCCCGTCTCCAGGAGCTCCTCGTCTCACACACTCACATCCTGTTTTCCAAGAGAAGCTCCTGGGAGCGAGTGGCTCGCTGGTGATGACAGAGGCAGCCTGGGCACCCGCGAGGTGGGAGCTGCCGCCGGGGCTGAGGTCACCCCGCTCCCTGTTGATCAGCCCGTTCCCACAGCGCTCTGCCCTGCGCACACACAGCTCCGAGGATGGAGCCGTGCTGCCCTTCAGGGGCTGGGCAGGGCTGGTGGGCTTCTCCTTGGGGCACCCCAGGGTGGATCTGGGGGGACAGATGGGGTTTCCCATCAGAGAGGAGATGGAGGCAGGGATCTCCCTCCAGGACCATCCCGGAGCAGCAGTCTGAGGCCGGGCAGGGCCACTTGCCATGGGACTGCAGCTCTTCCTGAGGCCGTGGCAGCCTTGTGAGAACGAGGGAAAGGGGCATCTGGATCCTGAAACCCAGCCAGTGTCAAAGGCTGCGCTAAGGCAATCTCAGGTCCTGCTCCTGCCCCCCAGATCCCTGCGCAATTATGATTTCAGATTAAAAAATAAATTGTAATAAAGCTGTTTTCTTTCCCACGTTACTGTGGGGAAAGCCCACGGCAGCCCACAGCAGCAGCCAGAGCAATGCCTGTGGGCAGATATTCCCAATTTCTGACGCTTCTATCACACCTCACAGCAGGGTTTCATTTCAGACATGTCCCACCTCCCTTCCTCTGCAAGTACCCAGAGAAGGGAGAGTCCTCGTGCTGCCATCAGGACCTGCAGGGGATTTACAGACATTTCCACAGCTCCTTCCCCATTAGAGCTGGTTTTCCTGCAGCTATTGCTAAAGCAAGTCGGGGTGGGGGGAAGGAGGGAGAAGTTTGCAATAACAGGGGTACAGATTTCACAAAAAGTGTGGGAAGTGTCGTGAAAAAAACATCAACAGCAGAAATAACCTCGGAGGGAGCTGAGCTCTCAGACAGGGCTTCAAGAGGGCTAGAGGAGCATCCTGGCAGTGGGATTCCTGCCTCTGCCCCAAAGCAGGGTGGGAGTGTGAGGGTCTGGGGGAGAGGAGCTGCTTTGGGGGAAGTTGGCAGAGATGGGGAGGGATCGAGTGCCAAGAGCCCCACGTGGAGCCTCCTGCCAGCCCAGCCACGGCCATGGGACACCGGCCAAACTGCCACGTGCTGCCTGGCTGCCTCCCCTGCCACTCCTCTGCTCCCTTCCCTGCCCCAGGAACCCTCTGCCAAAGCTCCTGGCTGTGTCCCCACCACCCAACAGCAGCTCTCCCTGCTTCCCAGCCCCCCCCAGCCCCTCCTGGGGCTGATCCCAAGTTGTGT